AGATGAAACATGTACAAACGGTTTTTCAAAATTTTCTTATATTCTCTTCTTTCTTTATGCTTCCACCGCCCCCTTATTTTTATTCAACGCCCCCCAATTGCACCCGAGGCTACTAGTGCCCCCCTGGATCGTTCCAGCGCCCCCCAGGGGGCGGTATCGCCCACTTTGGGAACCTCTGGTCTACATACACACACACACACACAGAGTATAGGTTGCTTTGTTTTAAGGACAAGCTGCATAAAGTTTAACACACAGTAGCCAATAGAAAGTATTAGAGAAGTCACACAAGACAAAACAGTTTACATTGTGTCTGGCCCAGACACATCTCAGCCGGGGCGCCCATAATGAAATCCCGTTGGAATGCCAATTGGATTGAGTTTCTAATGGAAATTTCAGTATCCCTACTTCATTTATTAGTGGTATTGCAGTCAGACTTAGAAGCCTCAGTAGTGAACCAGGCACTGTACAAACACAACAGAATCAATTCCATTGCTAAACGTCGTCTTAATATATGCAAGCTGAGAATCCCAATATCAAAACTATTTCTTACGGCAAGAGTTTCTCTGTCCCTCATGTTTGATTTTATGATCTTTGCAGAGAAGAAAATCCAGAGTCTCAAGAGAGTCAAGATCAATATCATTGGTTTAATAAGTAACACAGATTTGCCGGATAAAATATTTCCATTTGTCCATGTATCTTGCTCACCATCACCACTTGGCCTACAGACTTATTTACCCTCTGACATCCAAAGAGAGCAAGTCAAACGTTTAAGTGAAACCCTTAGGAGGGGCGATGAAACACAGCCCACCTGAAGAAACCAAGCTCTAACTTTACTTTAGTTTAAATCGAACAGCCCATCTCACAGCCTTCTCAATGTCCAGCTAAAACCGGCACCGGTCTGAAGAGCGCCAGGGTACAGCTGAACCAGGCAGGACCAAGCGGACGTTGGTAGGAAGAGAGGAGTGCTTTGATTAACTCGCTTCCTGTGACATTCCCCACTGGGGATAGCATTTGACCTCAAATTAAGCTGGCCTACAGCCTCTGGGTCTTTTTGATTCCTTGGTACCACTGTATGCAAATAGTCATGGCAACAAAAAATTAAAAAGTTTCCCTTTCTAACTGGCTGAAAGATTTGGCTCCATCTGGCAGAGACCTAGCTGAAGTAACCATGCAGTCACGGCATCCAGGCTTGTGTAGTTCAGCTCCTATAAAAATGATACCGCACAACCTGAAATGCTCCAACTGCCCCAAAACATGGTGGTCCTCCTGTTCAGCAAGAGGCCATTGTGAGCATGTCACTCTGGTTCTCCATGTTCTGTAGTGGCTCCCCATTTAATATCGGTTCCAGTTCAAGATCTGCCCTACCCATATTACATCCATTGTCATTAACAAGGCAGCGGCACACGTGGCAATGATGATGCGAGTCCTAGTGTAGACAGGGCTCAGTCACCTTTCCTATGTTATAAAGCCTGCTCTACGCTACTGGCTTAGTAGTCGTGCAGCTGCTAGACTATTGCTGTAGAAGAAAACCAGCCCCCCTGATTTCATAAAGAGACGAAGACCCACAAGCCTATCAACACGCAGATTACACAGCTCTACACAGGCTTCGGCACAAACACTGCTAATACCGCTACCGCTCAGTGCTTGGACAAGACCAGTCCATGAAGATCAGCTGGCTTTAGCTGAACCCAAGCAAGGCAGAGGGGATGCTAGTGGGCAGAGGAAAGCAGTCTGAGGTTTCGGAATGCTCCTGAATTCCTCTGTCACTAAACTCTCATACAGCAGCAATGTTAGATGTTACCATCTCCAGTTGGCTAGTAGAGTGCATCCCATCCTGGTGGAGGATGACCTGGCCTCAGTTATTCACACCTTTGTCACCTCTCAGCCAGACTACAGCAGCGTGATATACCTGGGTATGAAGCCTTCGTCACTTACGAAACTCTTACTAGTACAGAATGCTGCAGCACATCTCAGCAACACTGGCTACTGCAAGCACATCAGACCTGTCCTCCACCCCGTACACTGGTTTCTCACAGAATACCAAGTCAAGTTCAAGGTCTCAATCCTTACTTTCAAGGCACTCAATGGGCTCGGCCTGACAAATCTAAAAGATCATTCTGAAGCTTGAGGCGAGGACTGTGTTCGAGAGCTCTGCTCCTCAGGCACGATGCAACTCAACAATAAAAGGGAGAGAGTTCTCTATGGAGGAGAGGAAGTTCTCAAGGCTGGTGCGAGACTGTGGAACAGACTCCTTCAGGAAATAAGGACCATCACAAACTTCCCTTTCCACTCCCAGTGCAAGGCACACTTCTTCATCTTGCCTTGTCCATTTTAAGAGAATCCCACAAACCAAATCCTCCTTAAAACAGAAAACACTGCACTGTAAACACACCTTTCCTCTTTGGGAGAGGGGGAGAGAATGCACTTAGAATCATAGAATCATAGAATCATAGAATATCAGAGTTGGAAGGGACCTCAAGAGGTCATCTAGTCCAACCCCCTGCTCAAAGCAGGACCAATTCCCAACTAAATCATCCCAGCCAGGGCTTTGTCAAGCCGGGCCTTAAAAACCTCCAAGGAAGGAGACTCCACCACCTCCCTAGGTAACGCATTCCAGTGTTTCACCACCACTTACCCATGACAGATGCTGGTCACATCACTTGATGCACTACTGGAAGCTGCTCAGGTACCATGGTGATGACAACAGTATAAGTACACATACAGAACAATAATTGCCTGAGTACAGGAGGTTGCCAGACTCAAAACTATATAGGTTTCTACCTTGTTAATACCCTCAAGAGCATACTGTACTACTTCTCCCACAGTATTTCAAGAGGGTAACAAACTATTTGTATGTCTAGCCAGCATAAAGGAATTTGTTTACCTTCGCAGATGGATCACTGAAAGTTGACAGCATGAAGGGGTCAACCTTTTTCCTCCAAAAGGTTGTATCATGAGCTAAAGATCCTTGTGATTTTTTTCCCCTCCAAGCGGCAACAAATACACAATTATGGTACCCAGAAAGTTGGGCTACAGCCCCCATAGAACAGCTGCAAAGATGCTCATTTTGCTTGGACCGAGTACTGATTGGGAATGGACAGAGCATTTTGGATAAGTTAACTGTTTTGCTACCGAACTCGAGCCCAATCTGGACTGGAGCATTTGTGAACATTTGAGAGGGTAAATTGTTTGTGGCCAGGAACAGACATGCAAGTGCCGAAGCACCACAAGAAAGACTGTTCATGGAGTCATTTCTGTCTCAGCCAGCAGCAGAACGGTCTGTGTTTCCTACAAAGATAGTTGGTCCAATTTGCCACTCACTTTCAGTGACAAATGGCTGGTGTAGTTGGGATCCAATTTGCGAGGGCATCCAGGCTCTTATCTGATCAGAATCAAACCTCCAGTTGTTTTTAGGATCTCTTATCTCTAACCTTAGTAGAGAAAAAAAAAAGACAGTGGCCAGTAAACATAGGGGTCTTGTCAACATGTTATGCCAAGCCTTTTATATTCAAGCTAAACAGATTCACTGACAGATTTAACGTTCACTGAAGTCTGTTTCTCTCAGATCTTCTACGAGCACAGGAATAATAAGATATGCACCTTGTTAGCTAGGGATTAGACCTGAGCAGTGTATATTTAATTAGAATCTAAAGAGATTATTTCAGTGTTAGAGAGGTCTACCAGAAAGAGAAAAACCAACATAACCATTTCAGGAAGATGGATACATCTGTGCCATCCAGGGAAAAGTGAGGGTGTTCTTAAATATTCTAAAAACATGTAAGGTAAAGGGAAAAAATTGACCTGAAGATTTAGTATGGGTCATTTAATCTGTTTGCTTAAGACCTGTCCTCCCACGGACTGACCTTCAACACTATTAACGAATAACTTTCCTAATGACATTCACTCTTCAAAAGTGTCCTCAACCCCTGGCCGTCCCAGGGGCAGCGTTGCAGAGCATTAGATCTCCTTGTTTGGGGAGCACACCGGAAGGAGGAACACTTTTCAGACAGACAGTATTCCTGGGATAACATATCCCAAGATCTGGGAATCTAAGAGGTTCACCATGAGTATCAAGGAAGATGAGGTGGAGAAGTTTCTCGATGGTAACCCTGCTTTTGCCAAGCAATACTTTGATAAGAAACTGAGACCAGAGCCACTGAGCAGCAATCAGACATCAGAGGAGAGCGAGATACTTTTTGAGTTGATCCAAGACATGCAGGAAAGCATTAACATGGAGAAGGTTGTTTTCAAGACTCTAAGAAGAATCAGCTGTCTCATCCACGCAGACCGCTGCAGCCTTTTTATGTACAGGCAAAGGAACGGCACACCAGAGCTAGCTACCAGGCTTTTCAATATCGAGAAAGACAGCACGCTGGAGGAATGCTTGGTGGCGCCAGATTGTGAAATTGTCTATCCTTTGGACATGGGCATCGTGGGGCATGTTGCTCAAACCAAGAGAACTATGAACATCAAGGATGTCAATGAGGTAGGTTTTCCATTGGTTTGCTCCGTTAATGGAAGATTCATAAGAACTAGACTTTCTATCAGGGTTTGTAGAGTTAAGGAAAATGATGAACACGCATAAGAGAAATCAGTGCAGTAGAAGTCTCATTTACTGTACCAATGGTAAGGCTGGAAACCAAAGACATGTTTGGGATGGTTCCCTTTTAAAAAAAAAACTTTCCAATGTATTGTGTGAAATATTTCACGGGTATAAATGAATAACTGAGTTGTCAGACTTAGTGCGCTCTGAGAACAATGCCTTGTGTCACGTTTTATATTGGCTCAAAATGGAAAACTCACCTAATAAAAAAAAAAGTCATTTTAGAACAGCAACTCAGACACTTGCTACTGTCTAACCCTGTGCTGTCTACACCCTGAGGCACTGCACTGAAACTGCAAGCCCTTAGAGAGAGTCCAGAAATATTTTACCACCCCAGGAATTTTTTCTGGCTCAAGTTTCTACCATCCAGTGCAGGCTCCTGCTCTTCAGAGATATTTTTGTGAGCCAAGGATTCGAGCCATCCTTAACACTGATATGTGAACTCTCATCAGAAGCAGTGAGATATAAACTTTGCTCACACATCTCACTATTCTTAAGGGACCTATAGCCAAGGAGTTTTATTTTTATAGCCTTATATATTCATATATGACCATTATATACCCTAGTTGAAGCATCTGAATCCAAACTGAAGCAGGCTAATCTGAGTTATAATCCATGTGACCCAAATATGATAGCTGGGATTACTTCATATATAATTCTCTCATAACAACTCGGCCATCTGTCTATCCAGTCAGCCGAACCGCATCACTCTGTCTTACAGGATAGCATGTTAAGTGCTGGGGTTTTTTGTAACCATTCACTGCACTCAGAGCGAATCAGAGGAAAGTAATACGTTAACAGTCACATTTGCCATCATTCTCTAGTCTGCGTTTCAGAGCAGGGAGCCCTCTGAGAAAGCTCCTTTTCTGGAAAGTTTCACCTTAACTATTGTCATTCCTTGTACCCAATGTGTGCACCCATGGTAGGTCCTGGTCATGGAGGGTGAAGAGCATCGTGTGGGAGGCCAGCGTAGGGGTTGATGCATGGCCGTAGTATGTTTGTGTAGGTCACTGCTGCTTACAATGCAGACTGCAGCCTATTGAAACAATTTGGGCTTCGAGGTTCCTGCTTTGAGTCCTAACTACAGTGCATTGCTGAGAGAGCCACCAGGGCAGCCAAAGGAAGTAGACACAGCAGGCAGAGATGCCATCTATCTACCTGGTAGCACAGGGAAGGCTGGGAGGACTCAAGAAGGTTGTTTAGATCAGTATTTCTCATGCTTTTTGATACCAGGGACCGGCTTGCTGCCTTCCTGAACTGTTTCAGGGAGATCTCAGGGACTGGCGCCGGTCCACAGACCGGTCGTTGAGAAACACTGGTCTAGATGACTGGGGGCCACAGCTCCAACCAAAGGTGCTATCTCATTGGCTAGCTCTTCATAATGTTTTTCCATCTCTTCTCCCCCCAGCATCCCTTCGTGCCAGCATCCTTTCTTTGTCCAGAAGACAGTTTTATTTTAGACCAGTGATACCCAGACCTCAGTGGTTCAGGAGCCAAAATTAGCAATCAACATTACCCAAGAGAGCCACAGTAGTGTGAATTCATTGTTTCATTTACTACGGTACTAAATATTCAAATGTAAACAGTATGACAGGGGAAATATTGTTTTTATATATATACTTATTCTCATAGCAAAATGACTGACCAAGTATTATTATTTTATCAACTACAATTGGTTAACGATATTGTAAAAGCCTCCTGATTGGTTAATAACTTAGATTGGTTAATACTTAAATCACACGGTGGTTTAATATCACGTGCTGCAAAGAGCCGCAGGAGACACATGAAAGAGCCACTTGTGGCTCGTGAGCCTCTGGCTGAGTATCTCTGCTTTAGACGCTGGGAGACAGTGACATGCATATAGGGTATTCCTGCGCACTGGTGCTGGAGCGGTGCCAAGGGGACTTAGGGCTGCCCTCTAGGGGCAGCTGGGGATTCCCCTCCGGTAGAATCCCTGGGTGATGCAAAGCCAACTCTGTGCTATCCACTCCCAGCACACACACCCCAGCCACCATGTTCCAGAGGTGGAACTGGGTGTGGCCTTTATGGGGCTTGGCAGAATGCTCTGGTGATCCTGGGCTGTCTGAACAGCTCCTTGGCACACAATCTGGCCCCATATTTATGAGAGCCCAGCACGATGCTGCTTCATTCCAACACACAATTCTCTGCTCCCCAGAGGGTAGTAACTAAGTTACTGCCGGGTTATAAACAGCAGCACTTCCCCGTCTTCAGCAGCTTGGCTTTTCCAGCCAGCACACTGGCAGTGGAGTGAAGGCTCAGCTCACTCCCCACCCTGCCCACATGCACCCAGGGAAGGGGGCATAGCACTCCTTAACCCTTCTGCTCCTGGGAGCAAGTCGACCACAGACACGTAAAGGGGTCCTCACAGGGAGGTTGTCCAAATGACAAAGGAGATCACAGACCCGCACCTGGGAGCTGTGGGTACTCAGCAGCTTGGGGGGCGGGGTGGGGCGGGTCAGGTGGAAGGAGACTAAAACTGGAGTCAAAATGAACCTACCATGATTGCAACTTATGAGTTTTTCTGGAGAGAATTTCCTGGTCCTTAGTCTTTCAGATAGGGACCACTGCTAAAATCTCTCAAATGGGTGAGGTCTTTCCAAAACAAGTTACATGACAACTGTAGGAAAATAAACATTGGCGTTTAATAAACTCTGAATGCATGTTCAACCAACTCTATTCTTGTTAACGTGACGCTATTCCCTATGCCTCAAAATATACTTTAGGCCAAGCTTCCTTTAGGTGGCTTCACCGAGGGGATTTTCTGGCTTTAAGACTGCTCACATTTTGGACTGTGCTTTGTTTTTCATTTTCCCCTCTTTTAAACAGTGCACTCAGTTCAGCAGATTTGTTGATGAACTCACCCAATACACTACAAGGAACATCCTTGCAACTCCCATCACGAATGGCAAAGATCTAGTTGCTGTGATCATGGCCATTAATAAGATGCATGGCCCATTCTTCACCAGCTCTGATGAAAGTGTAAGTGTCCAAAAGATCCAATGTAGGTCAGTTTCTATTGTGCATGTATCTTACTTGGGGTGACCAGATAGCAAGTATGAAAAATCAGGACTGTAATAGGCACCTATATAAGAAAAATCCCCAAATATCGGGACTGTCCCTATAAAATCAGGACATCTGGTCACCCTAATCTTACTATGCATAATATATAGGCTCATCTAGACTAGGGTTCTTTGCAATAGCGTAGCTACACTGGTGCCAATTCCCTTACTGTAGACCAGTGGTTTTCAACATGTGGTCTGGGGACCCCTAGGGGCCCACAGACTATGTTTAGGGGTCTGTGAAAGGTGACTATGAAAATAAAGTTTCAGACCCCAGAAAAGGCATTCTGTTTTTCTGATCAATCAAAAGCATGTGTATAGCCCCACCTACAGATCTAAACCTGTAAGTGTTGTCATTACCTCAGAAGCCCACAGTTTAGCGCTCTTTCTCACACTGTGTCAAATGCTGTGCCAAGCATGTGCAACATTTATAACTGAATTCTGTTCAGTCACTTTTCAGTCTAAAACTTCTATAGTAGGGATCCGTGGACCACCGGTTGAATGTCCACATTCAAAATTTGTTTGGGGTCTGCAAATGAAACAAGTTTGACAACCACTGCTGTCGACACTGCTGTATTGTAAAATGGGCTTACATGGGTGCAGCTTACCTCAATAAATTACCAGGGCAAGTCACACTGGTAACAAGCCTCCCCTTATATCAGCACAAAGCAAAGTATTGACACGGGTTGGTTGGTGTGAGTTTGAGCAACAGACTAACGTAGTTGCAGTGGTGCTATGAAATCCAGTACCCCCAGGGCCACTGTTTGGTTCAACTCAACACGGACTGTTTTCCATTTCAGCTTTTCCTGAAGTATCTGAATTTTGCCTCCTTAAACCTGAAAATTTATCATTTGAGTTATCTTCACAATTGTGAGACTCGAAGAGGCCAGGTAAGATAAAGAGGCGGATCCCAGTAACTGTTTCATTGTCTAGGTTCAGAGCTATTTCTCCTGTACCATCAGCCAGGCTGAATATCTCATTGACTAGAGAAATAGGGATAAAGACCCCAGAGTAGCCATCCTCTCAAATTCACTCGGCTCCACATGGGTACAAGTGTCTGAGTGCACAGCTGAGGGCAGAATTAGGGATTCGTTTTTCTGAGTGGTAGAACCATTTGTCCATTCTATTAATAATTCTTATTGATGAGATTACTCAGTATTAGCATTACTTGGTCTTTAATTCAGCTGAACAAAAATGTTAATTACACATAATTACTAAGAATCTGAATTACTTAGTAATGCTAGGTTATCCAGTTAATGATTAACTAATATGCATTAATACTGGAGGTTTAGCTGTAGCAGTGGGAGTTGATAGGAGCAGGGGAGCAAGAATAGAGAAGGGCGGAGGGGAATATATCCTAGTATAGTCCCTTTCAAGACCTGCAACTGAACCCAGGAATCATGAGTCTCTACACTCCTCTACTGTCAGCAAATAGCTGCGCTACTATAGGCAAAGTCATCCCCACCTGATGGAACTTGGGTTTTGGTTTTTGAGTAAGAGTTATTTTTGGGATGCAACTTCCTAGCCTAAAAGAACTTTAAGGTTGCAAAAGTCTTCAAGTTTGAAAATGCTAGAATTAACATTGCCTGTGCAACCCTAATTTGACCTCCTTGTGTATATGCCAAATTACAGATGTCCAGGCAACATTAATTCTAGCATTTCCAGCTTCTAATTGAAAACTTTGGAACCTTAATGTTAGTTTAATATATAGTTTGGGGGATGTCATATTTTACTGACTTACAGAACAGCCAATTGCCACTGCTAAGTGAATTTTAAAACAGTAGGTAATTTATTCAATTTCGGACTATTCAATTCTGCATTACACAGCTTGAACGTGGGATTTTACAAAATGCTGAATGTTGGCTTAACGCTGTTCTCAATGAAGTCAATGAAAAAGGTCGCACCCTCCTAACCGAGCTGGAACAAGCAGAGTTAGCAGACCCTAAAATACCGTACTGTTGCATTTCTAGGAATCTGTGATATCTAAATATTAGTCACATATTGTCTCAAGTCTAGTTAGCTTTCCAGAAGGAACGGTCTACAGAATTGGTTTTATTCTTCAGGTGCTGTTGTGGTCAGCTAATAAGGTATTTGAGGAGCTGACGGACATCGAGAGGCAGTTCCACAAAGCTTTTTACACAGTGAGAGCATATTTGAACTGTGATAGATATTCAGTGGGCCTTCTGGATAGGACCAAACAGAAGGTAAGCATTCGTGTGTATGGCAAGATAACACAGCAAGGGTCTTTAGGTTGCTGCTAAACGTGAATTGGGCAATTTCTGGCATTAACTTTTGTCTTATCAGTGTATGAAATTCCAGGGTGTAGTCCAGACCAGTGGGGAGCAGTATCACCCCTGCCCTGCAACCTGGGGCACCTCACAATGCTTTGTTGTTGTAGCTTCCAGCTTGGGTGGCTCACAGACAGCCTGTCAGCATGCTGGTCACACCCTGAATGTCTGTGTGTAACCACAGCCTGGTCCAGAAGCTCTGACCCCAGCAGCCTGTCAGCACACACCAGCCAGCCTCTGGCTTCCACCAGCCTTGGTTCTTACTTGCAGGGTGACCCCAACACAGTCCTGGATTTTCCCCAAAAACCCGTGTTTAGCACTCTCCAGCCCTCTCCTGGACAGTCCAGCTATAGGTCTTGTCTGCAGAGCTGTTTGTTCCTGGTCCCCTTCCTTGCCAAAGAATGGCCACTTCATAGGTGATGGCCCATCAGAGGTGATGACACCTGGCTAGAGGCATCAACTTGTCCTTTGTTTAAGAACTTGGGGCAAGATGGGTTTGAACATGCGCCACCAACGTAATTTGGGTGGAAATTCATAACTTTACATATTATGTTGCTACATATGTTCTACCCTGATATTATTGACCAGCACGTTATTAGTTTTCAAATGATACTTTACAAGGCCTATTTTGGACAAAGATTATTCTGAGTGGGTGGGGTGTGAGTACAGGGGTGTGAGTACAGGGGTGTGAGTACAGGGGTGCATCTGGTCACACCGTGAAAATACAAATCAGTTCTGGATCATGATTATCTGAATGGAAAGTATAATGCAAAAAATGCCCCTCTAGCCCCCTAAGAACCTAATGCGGGAGTGGGTAGAAACTGTGACTGGGAGTTGGGGAAGGGACTACAAGTCATGGGGAGTAGGGACAGGGACAAGGAGAGAGGACAAAGATGTTGAAGGGCATGGGGCAGAAGGGTCCAACCTCTAGACAACACTCTCTCCAGAGCCTGGAATGGAACCTAAGATCCCAGAGTCTCACCATTCCTGCTGTCAGCAAATATCTCTGAAAACCCAAGGCAAAGGGTCCCATCCCCCTCTAGCACTGGTCTGCCCAGCAATAGTAGGTTGTTCTCCTCCGTCAGTTGCTCCATTTGCTGAAGTGGCAGGGGTTTGTGCCGTGGATCTAGAGTCCCACCTTGGCTCCAAAGTGGTTCAATAGCAACGTGATGCTACCTGATGAAGTTTGTTTTTTCAGTTTGCTTTTTAAAAACCTAGACAATTACATGAACTACACTGAAATGCCAGCAAGGTTACCCAGTCAAGTACTCCAAAGACAGGAAGTGCCAGCATGAACTTCAATTAAATTCCCTTGTGCATACGCATGAGGATACACTCTTTAATGATATGATCACAAACTTATCTCCAAATGACCCCTGCCTCATTCAGTGCACAGGATGGATCTGCTCCAGGGGTGAATCAGGGTTGTGTGGGGAAGGAAGTTGCTGTCTGTAGGACCCCTAGCCTGGCTGGTTGCAGAATTTGGAAGATGCGTAGTGAATGAGGCAGGGGTTTGCAGGAAGACAAAGGATGGCTACTTCAGCTGAACGCGTCTCTGGGAAATTGGATTCTCTTCCTGCCCCTGCTACAGAATTCCTGTGTGAGGTTGGGCAACTCCCTTGCATCAGACTTTTCACAGACGGTCACTAATTGCGTGTTTCGCATTTTCTGGGGGCTTGACTTGAGGTCCTTGTGTCAGATTTGCAGAAGTGCTGAGAACTCACAGCTGCAACTGCAGCCAACAGGAGCTGTGCTGTGAACACATGAAGTGCTCCATGATGCGAAGTACTCTGAAAACTCAGATCCTAGGCATCTTCAGCTGGGCACCCAAATTACGTTAATCTCTGTACCTTGGTTCCCCATCTCTACTGTGTGGATAATAGCGCCCCTCAGCTCACAGGCATTGCTGTATTTGAAGCACGCAGATACTATTGTGATGAGAACCATAGAAAAGCCTGAGAGGAAATTAATAATTCTGCCTTCAGAAGAGGGTTTGAGTAGTGTTCGGTACAGGAGGCCTGGGGCCATACACTGAACAAGGAGGAGAAAACAAAATAGTGAATAATTGCTCATTAAGTGAGCACCATCCATCCTGTGCACTGACTGAGAGGGGTCCTGTGGAAATGAGACAGTCTCATCCCATCACATACCGTCTTATGCATATGTACAAGGGGGCCAAATTAAAGTTTCCCAGGTTACCTTAACGCTGGCATTTTCCTAACATCTGAGTGCTTGAATTGGCAACATTAATGTTTTTCACGTAAGTTTTGGTTTAATTTAGAGAGCATCGTAGAGGTGCATGGCAAATTATAATAGCGGTAGTAGAACCCCTGCCTGTTTCTATATCCTACCACAGGTACACTTATTTATACGTATTAAAATTAAAAGTTTTGGGGGTTTTTTTAAAACAGGAATTTTTCGACGTGTGGCCAGTTCTAATGGGTGAAGTTCCACCTTATTCCGGCCCCCGGACTCCAGATGGCAGAGTAAGTGGATGACCTAGTATCCTCCCCATCCCCCAACTGTTTACTCTCACCACAAGCTTGAACCAGGATTTTTTTCTTTGTAGGAAATAGTCTTTTACAAAGTCGTCGATTATATCCTACACGGAAAGGAAGATATTAAAGTTACCCCGTGAGTAAGCGAAGCTTTAGTACCATGTCTAGAGCTATTTCCATTGCCTCTGTGTAGCACAGACTGATAGGATATGTGTCTGAAAATGAAGGTCTCCCATGAGCTAATAAACAGCTGAAGGAACAATGGAACATGGGATTGTAGGGTTAAACACGTATCAGTATTTGTTGGTTGCTTCTATTTATCAGGAATTCAGATTAGAATGTAACAAGCAGGCCACTGTATCACTGTGGTAGCACCCACTCACAGGTAAAGTCACCACTTCTGTAGATACACAAGCCCACCTTTCCATTCCTAGCCCCTTCTGCCCAGTCCTGCATCACCAGTTGTCCAATCCTCCCATTCAAACATCCTCTCTCCTGCCTTTCTCATTCACTGCCGGGTCCTCTGTCCACCCTGTCGCATAGGCTCCGCCTCAAAGCCAACTTTCACGCTTCTTCCTCCCATGCCCTACATCCAGGTGCAGTAATTCCTGTCGCTTTGACACGTCTAGAAACCATCCTCTATTCTTGCCATGAGATCTTTCATGTCGGCCTTTGTCATCTCTTGACTTGATGCCTGTAACAGCCTCCTGCTTTAGCTTGCCCTGCGAACTTTCCTCACCCTCCAAATTATTGCTGCCGAGAAATGCCTCTCCTAGTTTGAATCAGGTCAGTCCCTTCCCTGAACCCATCACTAGCATCCCCTAGCCACCCACTTCACATAAAATGTTTGTTTTCCCTCTCATAATTCCCCTTATAGCTGCCCTCATTGACTGCATGCCACCCTTTGAGATGCCTGCCCGTGTACCATGCTGCCTGCCTTATCAGCCCTGGGTTGCCTCCTTCCACTTTGGTCTCTGCCCTCCTCCATGCAGTCCCCTACACATGGCATGTCCCCGCACTCTCAGTTCTTCAAGATAGCTGCCTCTCCTTGTGCAAATCCCTCCTTAGTCAGAGCACACAATGCTAGTGCACCAGTGTGCAACAGGGAGTATGTCACCTAGCCTAGTTTTAAAAAAATCTAGGGCTGTAAGTCTTGACTACCTCTTGGTCATCTATTGCTTTGTATCTGTTTAATTCTGATGGTGAGCTTGTCCACAAGGCCCTGCAAGATTAGACATGTTACATTTCCCTTCTTCCCACTGCCCCATTTTTCTTTCTTTCTTTTTTTCTTTCGCATATTGAAATTTAGAACCATTAAATACACTCCCAGTCCTATTTCATATCTAGTTACACTCAAGATGAAAAACTGGGAACTGATTGGAATACGCCATGCAATACTGAACGCTTTGAATCCTCTAACTCATCTATTGCCCCATCTGTTGATAATGAGAGTTTGATCCTATGAATTTTAACTCATGTGAGTAATCCTTGTTCACACAAGAAGATCCTTTGAAATCAACAGGACTACCTGGCTGACTAAGGATTAGCCGTGTATAGGGTGACCAGACAGCAAATGTGAAAAATCGGGACGGGGGTGGGGGGGGGGTAATAGGAGCCTATATAAGAAAAAGACCCAAACATCGTAACTGTCCCTATAAAATCAGGACATCTGGTCACCCTAGCCATGTACGTGCGTGCTGCATGATTAACCAGATATGTTCCAGCTCTACAAAAATCTCCAGGAAATATATGTAATCTCCATCTTTAATTTTTATTATACACACACTTTTGTTTCATTCAGAAATCCCACAGCAGATCACTGGGCACTTGCTACTGGACTCCCAACGTATGTAGCGGAAAGTGGCTTTGTAAGTATTTGACGAGAGCGTCATTGAGGGTTTCAGAAAGTCAAATTAATGTTTACTTTCAACTATGGAAGACTTATCAATTTAGCTGCTTTAACTAGATTTAAAATTGAGTATTTTAGAAAGGAGTTTATTGAACTTTATGCTACCCATTTGTAAAACGAAATATTTTTATGATCTTCTAGATCTGCAACATTATGAATGCTGCTGCAGATGAGATGTTTAAATTTCAGGTACTGTGAAAGCTGTCATAGCTGTTAAAAACAGACTTGTTAAAATAAATGTAATATAGATTCATTTTTTTTTACATACAAATTCCTGTAACTTGTTGCATTACCGAGTTCACTTAAGAAAAGCACTGATGCAATTTAGAAAATACATTTTATATATTCAACATCTTTCTGCTTGCTGTTGCTTCAAGGAAGGTCCTGTAGATGACTCAGGATGGACTATCAAAAATGTATTATCGATGCCAATAGTAAATAAAAAAGAAGAAATTGTTGGTGTTGCCACATTTTACAACAGAAAAGACGGGAAGCCATTCGATGAACAGGATGAGACCCTCATGGAGGTACAAGTGCTTACCAGCTCCGAAAGTAGCTTAGGTGTTAAATGGGAACCCTGCCTAAGACCAATAATTCTTAGCAGTACATGTGGTCTCCAATGTTTTGCAGCCCCCCATATTTTCTTTGATTGTGGAGGTGTAACTCAGTAGCTCTGGGTCTAAGAAATTGATTCATAGAGAGATTTTAGGCCATTGCAGATTTAGTGGTGACATGCCCAGCTTCTGAAGGGAATGGTACAACACCTGACAAGCATTTTCAAGATCTAGATCCTGTACACTCAAACAGAACTAGCAAGATCATTTGCAATATCAGCATCTAGGCAATCCAATAATGTACATGAGCTGCAGAAGAGACTATGGAACGGAGAATGTTGACACACTGAAACTACGGTAGGAACATGTGTTTCACACCCAACTCTGGTTTAAGCATTCTTATGATGGCAGACACTGAACAGAAGCCTGCCCAAGACTCGCATCACCTTCGATATTTACAGCGAAAAATGTAATACTTAAGTTGAAGGGGGCTGGAGGGCACCTCTAACGTGATTTCATAAAATAGGCCAAATCCGTAGCTAGCTTGAGCAGTCATAATTCCACTGAGCTCAGTAATTGCATCTACCTACAGCCGGTGTAACTTGAACCACTGTTGTTAAGAGTTGGGGGGAAATCATGCTGCTAGCTTTATTCCTTTCTATATAGCCAGCTCCTGGCTGTTTTATGGCAAGGAGATTTATTCTTGAAAGATTTAAGTGTTATGTTAACTAGGAAGTAGACAGATGACCAATTCATTTCACATAAGTCATTGAACAGCTGAAGGCAAAAGTCTTTGGGTCACTTGGGGTATGTCTACACTATAATAAGACATGTGCAGCTGGCCTGTGTTAGCTGACTTGGGCTTGCACTGCGGGGCTACACAATTGCAATGCAGATGTTTGGGCTCAGGCTGGAGCCTGGGCTCCGGGACGCTCCCTGCTCAGCTGTCATGGGCCAGGAATGGGTGTTTTATTGTAATGTAGACGTACCCTAGCAGCATGGCACAGATCTGAACCAGAGACCAAGAAGGCAGTGAATACCTTTGCATCCTTTTCCAAATCGTGAAGTGCCCAGTCTTGTTCTCACAGTTCTCAGTATTTCCCTTTCCCAGCTGCACAGTGTATCACCAATCCTTATCCACACCGGATTCACTTTCGATTGGGGGCCAAATCCTGGCTCCTTGACCCTCTACAGTACAGACACATTGTGCAGCCTGGCCAGACATCTCAGCTAAGGAGTTGAGTGTATCCCGAGAGTAAACGCCTCGTTGGGCAGCTGCAGAGCGCCTATGCTTTCAAGGAGTTTTTATACTGAGGCCTGTTGATTTATTTCCAGCCAACTAGTGTAACGATTGTTCCCCTAAAGGATGAGGCCTTTGGCTGTTTAGAGAATCGTAACAAAAGGGAAGTCAAGAGAGAAACATAGTTCCAGTAATGTCTAGACGTAACTTTGTTAAACAACCTGCTAGGTCCTCAGTCTGTGTCCCAGTATCTCTGCTGAATGACTCGTCTTGCGGTGCTAATGTCTCCCTAGAGAACACATGAATGTTACTGTTAAAGTTTTAAGCTTGATCCTGTAACCCTTACTCACAAGTAATCATTACTCACACGATTAGTCACAAAGGCTAGCAAGGTATTACTCACTCAAGCAAGCAGTTCTCACTCAGAGTTTGCAAGAACAGGCCCTCTTTACTACTTCAGCAAGGGGAAAGGTTCTCATTTGTCAGAGAGCAACTTGGAACGCCAATGCATTTAATGGCAGAATGTCAGTTTCAGTCTCAGACTAAAAACACCAAACTGGCTATTTAAAGGTTTTGGGCCATATATACTAAGCCAGAGTGTGCTGTGTTTTGCTGTAAGCTCTGGGAGGCCGGGCATTTTGTTCACATCCATCTATAAACCTATTGGTAATAAGATGTGTTAGACTATGAGGATGTTTTCCCTAGAAATAAACCAATAGCAATCAATGAGATACTTTAATGTGCTTAAGGAGGGTTCCCCTGTTTCATGGTTTCTTTTCTTTTTTTAAGTCTTTGACCCAGTTCCTGGGCTGGTCTGTCCTCAACACGGATACTTACGATAAGATAAACAAGCTGGAGAATCGCAAGGACATTGCTCAGGACATGGTGCTGTACCACGTGAAGTGCGATAAGGATGAAATTCAGGAAATCCTGGTACTGCTTTTCAGTTTATAATCAGCGTACAAACGGTGAATGCTTAAATAGCAACTGAGCCTGAGAGAACTTGCATTTATGTAGCATGTGTTGTCCCAAAGTGTTGTATTTTACTACATGCATTACTACATGCATCACCACAGAGTGAGCTTCCATTACGTAGTGGCCCATCAACCTCCTAGTAAATGGGCCATAGTCTCTCCTGCCCCACCCTTGTCAGCGCTGTGATACCACCTTCAATAGGGACAGATCCACGTAGCTACTTCCCAGGAGCTTCCAGAGCTCCACTTACCTAAGGCCTGCACAGAGAGATGGCTCGTAATATGTGCCTTGAAGATGGTAATGCTTCAGCTCAACCAGAGCTGACCAGAAAGAATTGCATTGCTGAAGAACTTCTGCAATTAATTTTAAACAAGCTGCATACGTACAGGTACACTTTACCATTGAGATGCAGTCACCTCTGGGGTGGGAGGGCAGCTGCCAGGTGGACAATGGTTGGGCAGGGCGGCAAGACCTTAGCTAAGGAAAAGCAAATGGTCATTGCTTAGTATTAAAAATGTATTTCAGTGCTAGCCCTGCAAACTCACTATAGGCTCTGAGAGGTAAGATGGGTTCTTTCCTTCTTGGGCATTATCAGGGGTAAGCAGCTTTGCGGGACAAATCAAGTCCTCACTACATCTGTGCAACTCCAGTAACCATAGCTGGGTTTCCACCGATTTCACCAAAAGCACAGTCTGATGACAGTGACGTTGAATGGGCGTAGCTGAGCCTACAGGACTTCTACTCCTGGTGATGATGCTTGAGACAGAGAACCCAGCTTGAGTGTCAGTCCCCAGAGTGAGTTTGGAGGACAAACAGTTTTTCCACTTGACAATGGAGCAATGGGGGGAGGGATAGCTCAGTGGTTTGAGCATTAGCCTGCTAAACCCAGCGTTGTGAGTTCAATCCTTGAGGGGGCCATTTAGGGATCTGGGGCAAAGATCTGTCTGGGGATTGGTCCTGCTTTGAGCAGGGGGTGGGACTAGATGACCTCCTGAGGTCCCTTCCAACCCTGATATTCTATGATCAGAGAGATGCCTTGCATATGGGAACCCACCCCCACCACTGTCAGAGTCAGTTTATAAGTCAGAACTGCCCCTTAAGATCAGAAATGTAAGTAAGGTTCAGAAGAGAACATGTGTTTGGAAGTTGGACTAGATACCACCCCAAACGTATGCAGCTTTAGTGCTGATTGTGGAGCCGCTGGTAAAATTAACATGTACGTGATCTCTGTAGCCAACACGAGAGAGGCTGGGGAAAGAACCAATGGAATGTGAAGAAGACCAATTGACGGTACTACTGGTGAGTGCCCATGCACCATTGACTTGACAGTAAAGGCAAATAAGAATCTGTTTGGCAGAAGTAGGAGAACACTATCCAGGTTCTTATAGTGACACCCCTCAGCATGGTATCTGGTGACCTCCCAACAGAAAGAACAGAACTCCCTCCTTCCCAGCCATACAGGCACGTGGCGTAGCCTAGGATAGTATCATTACAGGGCATGCCTTCCAAAGCTCTCGGGAACAAGCTGCTTTGCACTACCCCTGGCACAAGGCATTACCTAACCAGCACAACTGAGCCCCTACAGAACAAACCCTACTGAGAACCAGCTCAACCACTAGGATCCTCCACTCATTTCGCTACCCAGAGCCAATACAGACCTAGGGCCGCCACTGGCCTCCTTCACCAGTCCAGGACCATTTTCGACTCTGACACATGAAATCCACTTGGGGAGGCAGATCTCTTCTGCTAAATCCCAGCAGAGAAACCAAAATGGACTGTCGCTGGAAGAAGCCTTTATTGTTACCTAAAAAGCATGTTACAGTACTGATCTCTGAGTAATCTGAAAGAATGCAGCATTTTTGAGACAACTAGGGTAACCAGATGTCCCAATTTTATAGGGACAGTCCCAATTTTGAGGTCTTTTTCTTATATAGGGTCCTATTACCCCCCACCCCCGTCCCGATTGTTCACACTTGCTGTCTGGTCACCCTAGAGACGACCCATGTGTGGCTTTTTGTGGAATGGCATGCCCCGCAGGGAAACAAGCCAATCTGTTTCTTTTTCAGAAAGAAGAACTGCCAGACCCCATTCAGTCTGAGATCTACGAGTTCCACTTCTGTGATTTCAAGTGCACCGAACTAGAGCTTGTGAAGTGTGGAATTCAGATGTACTACGAGCTTGGGGTGGTGAAAAAGTTCCAGATTCCACAAGAGGTAAGTGTCGGTTTCTGGTGAGATGATACAGAATGATGCCTGGGGACTCCCACCTAGTTAGATCCCCCTGGGAGGGAACAGTGGCTATTGATTTACAGGTTTCAGAGTGGTAGCCATGTTAGTCTGTATCCGCAGAAAGAACAGGAGTACTTGTGGCATCTTAGAGACTAACAAATTTATTTGAGCATAAGCTTTTGTGGGCTAAAACCC